TAAAGAATAATTTATGCCATTTATTATCTAACTTACTAATAAGTTGTGTCATTTGTTTCATGTGAGGAATTTTTCTTGTCATTGCATTTCAATGTCATAGACTCTGGTTTGTTTTGTACATGTCTTCACACAGCATTGTGTTCTCTTTTATTTTCCTTCTTTCTTTTCTTTTCTTCTTCTTTTTTATTTTTTGAGACAAAGTTTCCTCTGCAGACCAGGCCTCTAGCTCAGAGATCTACTTGCTTCTGTCTCCCAAGTGTTGGAATTCTTTTCATTATGGTTCTTTTTATTATGTATTCTCTAACTCAGCTATCTTCACTTTAAAGTAGTCTTAAATTATGTTATGGCTTAGTTTTATATTCATGACATTTATTTCCTCTTATTTGTGGTTATTTTCCTTTGTCTTGGTGAGTGTGTATATATATACATATATATACACATATTTACACTTGGTGAGTGTACATATATACACACACACATATATACATATTTACATTTTCATTTGAGAATTCATATTAAACAGTGTTTTCCTTTTGGAGGCCAATTTTCAACCTTTCTATGCCAATGCTTAATACATTTGTAATTTCAAGAATTGCAAACTCCAAATCTTATATCTACTATTCACTCAACCTTATTATAAGAATTACACATGACTGAAGAAAATATACCGCTATTTTCAAATGTTTGGTGATTTTTCTTTATCTTCCAAAGGAAGAATGATATAGTTAGGCAATTCTTCAAGTAGTAACATTTTTGCTATATCATTTCAGGGATCAGTACAAATGGGTATATTTTCAAATCTTTATTCCAAAAAATTGGAAAAATTCAAATGGCAACCACATCGAAGTGGGAAGAAATCAGAATATCCACTTAAGATGAGGCAGAGGAAGGAAGACCAACAAGCCTCGTTTGCATACAGGCTCTCAGCAGTCTCTATTACTCTAGCTCTGTGTTCATGTTTGAACACACATGGGCAAGTGTGTTGCTTCTCATCTTACTTTCTCTAAGTCCTTCTAGTACTGTTTGCTTTGATTATTTCACACTTTTATTATTTATTATTGTATAATTTTATTACACACACACATATACACACACACACATAGTAAATGAATGGGTAAATTATTTAGCATGAAGCCTTTATATTAAACACAAAAATATTCACCAGATATCCACTAAGCTGTTTGTAATATTTTATTACTTAACTAATAATGCACACTAAACTTTTTTCTATGAAACAAGAAGAAAAGTAGATTCTACTCAGCTTTAACAAAATTCTAAAGTTTTGCATTTTATCTTTTTTTTATCTCTACCCATTTTAAATTTTTGTGTATGTAGTAAGTTAAAATAGTCTCATGGATAACAAATTGCCTTACAGACTTTTATTACATTTCATCTTCTTCTCCTTTACCTAAGGCTCTGAATCTTTCCTTTGGTTTTTATTTACTTGTGCTAGCTTTTCTTATCTTTACGCAAATGTCAAACAAAACAAGAAAACAATACAATTTTTATAGGTTAAATGTGTCTTGATATCTCAAAGGCAATTCCCCCAGATCTCCAAATCTCTTCTAGTTTTTTCCCCCCATTGGCTCGTTCCTACCTCCTACCCTTCTCCTCTTGCACTTGAATTGAACTGGATTCTAAATCTAAATTTCTCTTTGATTAAAAGGATTTTTATTCAAATTCTTTGCACTTCTTAAACCTAGATAATATGTCACAGTTTTGAGTTATCATACCTTTCTATTTTCTTCAGATTTTACAGGTCATTTTGGGACTTTGGAAGTTATTGTAATACACTCATTTTTTTATGTTTCCTTGTTGTTGCCTGTTTAAAGAAATACCAAAAATGCATGTGAATGTTCTTTTTAATTACCTTTATTTTCACTTGGATGCTAATCTTTAAGGGCCTTCTATTTTCTTCTAAGAGGCTCAGCAGAGGGAGATAGAAGAATGTCAATGTCCTATGGGGCTTCAGAAGCAGCTTTTTTTTTTTTTTAATTGGGTTGAGTTCTGAAGGGAGAAAGGTGTTGGGAAGAGACAAGCAACTTCACAAGAGAAAAAAAAGTGTTGGTTTTTCATGATGTGAGGGAGAAAGAAAATCCCCAAAGCATCTGGATCAATTAATAACTTATTTCTTTTTAGTTTTTAAGATTTATTTATTTCACAGCTCTACGACAACTTACAAACTATATATTCAGTGCAACGTATCTGTTTTTAAATTAGTAAAGTGTGAAGAGGGGAGATTAAATTTAGACTCCTAAGACATCAAGGAGAAATGCAATGTATCAAAATGCAGGTCATTAACATCTTGCATAATGATTAAAGCTAAGCTGCATATGTAATTCTAACATGCCCAGTGACCAAAATGAGGAGGGGGAACGAATGGGTTTTAAGATTTCTATTGTTATCAAGATGCAAGTTACTCAGAAAATCAGGCAATTTCCAGAGTGCTAAGATCTGGAAAACTATCTTCCCACAGGCCCTCCTCATACATAATATACTGAGATAAAGTAGGGTGCATCTTCAGTAGCATCTCAATAATAAATAGTGACTATCATATGAATTATAATAAAACAGTTTTATATAATTAACGCATGCTAATAAAAATGAAAAAATTGCTATCACATGATTTCTTATAGTGTGCTGTCATCTAATCAGAAAGCACAATTTCAAAGCAAAATTCAGTGGGGCTGATCTGTCAGAAGCATGCTTAACATTAAAGTTTTGAATTAGAGTATTCAAACGCACACTTTGAGTAAAGTCTTGGCTCTTAAGCGGACCTTGCTAATGTGGTGATGTTTTCTTTCAAAAACAAAGGGAGGGGGAGACCTTGGAATTTTATAACTAATTAGAAAATGTATATTTTAGTGAATGTTGTACAGGTCAAATGAAGAACCACAGGAAAGATCCAAGGAAACATTTCTTTTCTGACTTGAATATGTAGCAACTGCCACAGGTGAGAAGGGACCTTGAATGCTGTCTTGTTCACTGCTGCAGCACCAGCTCCTTGCCTGATGTCTGGCACTTACTAAACACTCAATAAACATTTGAGGAATACATTCATGAGAAAATGGATGAGTTAAACCTGCAAGTGGCTTGTTTTGCACAGGGTGGTTTTTGCATAAGTGTGCATCACAAAGAGATTCTGAAACCTGAAGACCTTCTTTTTTACCCATTAGAAGCAGACCTGCATGTATTGAAAAAACAAGTTGTTATACCCTCAAGCAAACAAAGGAATACTTAGCATTGAGGCTAGAGGATTTTGTGATGCTCAGATGCAATACAAAATTAGTGTTATTGGGTTTTTTCTCTTTTTTGAGAATGTTAAATTCAGTACATGTTGGAACATTTATACAATTCTTTAAGGAGTATTGATATGCACCTAGGTCATGACTCTTGTGATCTCTTGCTGTCTCTATTAAACTTCAGAAAGCTTATGGCTGTCTGCTTCTCACCAAACTAAAGAGCCTCTTACTGTATTTCCTTCTGCAATAACCTACTTTTCTTTTTGTTTTCCTTCTATAATTCTTGCATTTATGGTCTGTGCTTTATAATGTGAAGAGCAATAATACTTCAAGGATTCTAGCTTGAAATGCAGATTCCACTACTTATTAGCAGTTTGACATTAACTACTGGTTTCCGTAGTCGAAAACATTCTCTGCATTCTCTCTATTGATGAGTTGTTGTATGGTTTGAACGAGATAAGCTGTGTTGTGTGCACGAGAGCAATGGTATAGCAAGTAGTAAATGCCAATCTCACTTATCATAGCTATTCTACCAGAATGTTTTGTCTAAAACCTAAATTCAACACTGCCCATCCTTGTTTAAATGTTTAGGGCTTTCCAGAAGTCTAAATTATCTCCTTAACTTTCTCATCCCCAGCACCCACCATCCGCCCTCCCTTTATAATGGGTCTCTTCTGCATTCAGTTACACAAGTAAGGTTTCTAGTCTCTTAAGAGTTGGTGCATATGGTTTTCCCTGAAGAAGGAGCCCCCTTCCTGCTCTGGCAAAAAGAGTTATCTTCCCTCTGGTTTTCCCCTCATTTCTAATGTCTCTTGGTATAATAATAATTCTTCAGTCTACAGAGACTATACAAAGATGCATTGGATTTTTTGCTTATGTTTATAAGTATTTTGTATTTTGTGGATTTCTCTAGGCCTGAAACCCTCTTAAGCCAGCTCCAAATCTCAGAATTCCTGAGGAAACGATAGATGCCATTTAACAAAGGAACATGAACCTAACCCAGAGTCTCCAACCGCCTGGCATGTTTTCTGATATTTATTGAATTGCATTAATCAACTTCCCTTTATTTCTAAGGAGACTAGCTGCTCCAAACAGTCTTCCTCCTGCTCCCGCAGTTCAGACCTGGAGTGCTCAGGATTCTGTTTAGGGATTACTACTAACAGGAGCTAGCATGCTGGCAATTATAAGCAAGAGGCTTTGCCTACTAAAAACTACAAGACTTGTCAGCAAAGACCCTAGAATAGATTTTCTGCCACAGTTGCCCCGTCCTTGTTTGCACTTCCCATTCCAAATCTACCCATGGAGAGGAGGCGGGAAAGGTAAAGAGTGCATTCAAAAGTCGGCCAGTTCTCCAAACCCAGGGAAACACTACACCAAGCCTTTAAACAACCTTCGAAAGGAACAAGATTCACAGTTTCCCAAAACTGTCCTGACTTTCCTTTTTATTTCCCCTCCTGCTCATTTTCCGTTTGTCGCTGCCCACTCCCCATCCCCAGCACACCCCGCACCTCTTCTACAGGCAACCAGAGCACTGCCTCCTGACTTCTTGTTCTAGGACCTCCGTGATTATCAGCAAAAGATATCGATCAGACATCCTTAGCCAGATCATTGAAAGCCAAGGTAAAAAAACGAAAAAGAAAGGAAGAAAAGAAAAGAAAGAAAGCAAAGCAAAATCAGGTTTAGGACCAAGGGAAGGGAATGTAGCAAACCACAGCGCAGGATAACTGGACGCACACAGGCACGTAGGTTCCCCTGCATGGAAACAGCAGGTTGTAACCGACTACCCGGAGAACGCGGAGCTCCCGAGACAGGAACTTTAAAAGGATTGAAATCTGTTGCCTGTTCCACTAGGAATATTGTTTGCAAGGCACAAGGTGTCTTTTGGTAGTGAGTACCCTCTGCGCATGCGCAGGTCCATTCGGGAATTACTGCCCAGCCGCCGACTAAGTTGCATTCCTTGAATCTTCGCAGAAAAGACAATTCTTTCATCAGAGTTAGGAATGTGGACAGTACAAAATCGAGAGAGTTTGGGGCTTCTTTCTTTTCCTGTGATGGTTGCCATGGTTTGTTGTGCACACAGGTGAGCTGCCTTCTCCAATCTCTCTCTCTGTCTCTTTTTCTTGGTGTTTTTCTTTTTTCTTTTTCTTTTTTCTTTTTTTCCCCCGTGCCTGCTGGTTCATGTAATTTGTTATATGGGGGGTAGGTGTGCCTGGATCTTTTTATGTCTGTTTGTGCCCGTTCTGAATTCAGTCCCTACTCCTTCCCTTCAGCTCCAATGAACCCAGCAACATGTCATACGTGAAAGAGACAGTGGACCGACTGCTCAAAGGATATGACATTCGCTTGCGGCCGGACTTTGGAGGTAATGCTTCATGGTTTTTCTTTCAACCTGTAACCCATCCCTAGTTCACCTTTCCCGTCAGAGATAATACCCTCTTCCTCATTTTACCATTTCTGTAAACGTGCAGTACTACGCCCTGGACACACACACACACACACACACACACAGGATCCCCAGTCTCAGGTGGACAAATCCTCCTCAGGCTGCGCTGTCCCTCTCCTTAACCCGACACACCCTCTGCACTGTCACCGCGTCACGCGTGTGCCCACACCTGTTTTCCCAGGCTGTCCCCTACAACAAGGATGGGGGGATAGGGAGTGAGCCTGTTTAGTCCGCAATAAGATCTGGTAAACCCCCTATGCCCCCTCAGTCCCCTGCCACTCAAAGACTGTCTTTACTGTGGTCCCCCTCCCCGGCAGGGCCCCCGGTGGACGTCGGGATGCGGATCGATGTCGCCAGCATAGACATGGTCTCGGAAGTGAATATGGTGAGTGGCCTCCCCACTGCTCGGCGGGCCGCCGAGCTTACGCAGATGCGAAATGGACCTGTTCTCTGTCCTCTGCTTTTCATTGGTGATCACCTCGGCCCTGGTCCCCAGGGTCCCACTTCGCGCGTACGCCCCACTCCACTACACACACTGTCGATCACCCCACAATTTGTATTTTCGACACACACGGGCTACTGCGGTGTTCCGAAGGAGACGTACTCTGCACTATTTTGGGAAGGAAGAGGGACTGTTGCGCCGGAGGATTGGCTGGGGCGGAGTCTGAGCCTTACTTTAACCGGGTCTCCCAGCGTGTGTGTGTGTGTGGGGGGGGGTGTACAGGGCACCATCTGCCGGCAGTCCGATGGCCTGCATGGGGTCCCCCGGACCAGGGGTTCGGGTTCGCAGCCACAGGCAGACCACACACAGCCCCCACAATCTTCACAGATCCCACAGCCTGCTGGCCCCAAGCCACCCAGCTCAGACACCAAGCTAACTGGCAAAGCTCACAAGTATCCCCTCCCTGCTACAGAATCCAGCACAGTGTTTGGCAGGAGCAACAGGCTGAGATGAACAGTCCAGAATGGCTAACAGCAGAAGTGCCCAAGCTTGCTTCTGGGCATCTTATACCCATGCTAGGCTTCATGCGTTTGTCTTTCTGCAGCTTGCAGAACCCGTCGAATCATTTGGCTTTGATTTATTCTAGTAACCTAGGCAAAAGGAAAGATCTGATGATTAGAAGGACTGAGGCAGGGGAGAGGTGAATTAGAAGAGTCACAAATTTAAGGGATTTATATTTTACCATCCCTCCATCCCTTTCCTCTTTCTCCTCCTCCCCCCCTACTCATCTTCATGTACTATCTTTTCTCTAGGACTATTGCAAAAACTACTGAAATCCTAGCTGCCACTTTTGCTATTGGTTATTTCCATCTACCTTGGGAAGCCGTTTTCTAGTTGTTAGAGTTCAGGGGGAAAGATATGCCTGTTGCTTTTCTAGAGCCCACCCCCCGGGGAAGAAACAGATCTACAGGAACAAAGTGTCGGTTTTATTCCGCCCTAAAAATAATTGCAGCAACAGAAATTTAAATATACTGAGTAACTTAGACCAAGATCCTTTAGAATTTTCTCTGTCTGTAACAGTGATTGAATTGTTGCTCATTTCCCTCATAAAGGTCTTTTTTTTTTTTGTAAAACACTGAGGTCTCAGGGTTTTCCTTTTCACCTTGTAGATTATGTCAGGAAGCAAAATAAATATATTTATAGATCATTCAATGGATAGTATAAGTATAAAATGTATAGCTTCGGGTACACAGTTGTAACTCTCATTGTCTTCAATGGCTTATTTAAAATGCTATTTCATAATGCCTCAGGTTGTTTCAAATATTTATCAAGGGAATTTTCCTACTACACTGAAAAAGAAATCTATTTTTTTTCCAAATTTGATAAACAAGTGTTTTTTGTTTTAACTTGGCGAAGACTTTTAACAGACTAATGTTCTATTTCCATGTGTGATAATGCCCAACTCAGCTGTTTACAAACATCCAGAGGAGAGTGATCAGATGTGCATATGTCAGAACAGTGGCTTAGGACTGTAAATATAGCCAGATGTATTAGCCTAATAATTAGTGTCAGCCTATATACATTAGGATAACATTTTCCTGTTCAATCATTTACCTGGCATCTTGCAAACACTTCCACAGATCATTTATACATAGATCATTTCGAAATCTCAGAAGGCAAATTGTACCTCTGGCAGTGTTCTATGTTACTGTAATAGGGCACATAGGTTTCTAGAACTACAAGGACTCTCAATACCAAACACAGACACACATGCATGCACATACACACAAATCTATATACATAGTTTTTTTACAATATTTTGAAACTTAATTGAATATATAAGTTGCGTGACCATAATAGCCACTGCAAGGAAAAGTTCTGTCCAGTCAGTTGTTGAAATGGATTCATACACAAACTGAGAAGCAGCACATGTAAAATACAGGGAACACCTCCTCCTAATTACTGAATAATACAGTCTGCTTACTCATACGTGCACTTGGTGTGTTTTCAAATAGTCACTCAATAGACAATGCTCTCTGCCAAAAAACTCATTCCCTTTCACCGTGACATCAGAGACACAGAAAAATAGTGGCCATGGAAGCTGGAAAATAAGAAACCTTGCTTTGGGTATTCTTTGCTTTTAATGAGAGTTACTGACACTGACAAGACTCAGATTTATATTAGTGTCTCATCTATGGCAAAGTGTTGAAATGAATTAATTGCAATGGAAACAACAAACACAATAAAAATACGGGGGAGGGGAATTCTTTTGAAGGGTTGAGAGGGCGTTATGTAAGAACAGGGGTTGTTAGTCTTACCCATAACCTTCACCAAGAAGAGAATGCTTTGCAACATGGTTTGAATACCATAAGTAGGGAGAAAGGTCTTCTGGAAGTAAGTCCTATAGCTATTAAGTAGTCTTCTGCAATGTGATGGACACTAACTTACATGTGATTATATGATAGGGAAATTTCGACAAATTAAAGACAAAATAAGGATTAACAATAAAATAACACAGCTAGTATTTAATAAAAATGTGCATACCTTACAGCAACATTGCTATTTTTTACATTTTTAGTCATTATTGTTATTACTTATTCTATGGCTGGAAACATGGCATGATAATTGCACATTAAATTAATGAGTTAGAGAATGAGGGTGCTATTAAATTTTGTCCTTTTGTGCCAATCTAAGTAAAATATGTTTCTAAGTTGGTTTTTAATATTGCCCAATTTTAAGGCTAATATTGTATCAGGACTATTTTCTGACTAATGTCCTTCAGGATATAAAAATATGGTTCCAAAATTAAGAAAAGGAAATCATTATGGTAAAGAATATCTACCAGAAACTCTAAGATTTGCCAATATATTACTGTGCACAATTGGTATACTTCTATGCATCAGCTACAAATTAACTCAAACAAAAATGTAAGAAAAACAATTCATTCATTCTGAGAAGTTATAGTTATATAGAAAATTATCTACCACAGTTTCTATTTATTGTACATTAAACACTTCAAATTTTTTAATTTTACAGTTTCTGTGAAGCTCTACACACACATGCACACACACTAACAGGCTCGTGACTGAGCAGGAGACAGGTAGAATGAAAGGAGGTAATGGCTCCTACCAATTAGTCGTAAAATAACCCTCACCATCTGCTCAGTAGAAGAGGTAGTAACAGACAGAAGTTCCCTCTTCGAGTAGTATCTGGGAAAAAACATGATGCAGACTGTAACAACAAAAGAACTGAGCTTTCCTGTTCAGACGTCCACAACAAGCTGTCCCTTCTCAGGCACGAGTCAGATACAGTAATCAAGGAGCAATTCCAAATACAGTTTTCTGTCCTCAAGCTAAATCGTGATGGTCTAAGTGTCCACATGCAGAAGACTATACATGTAGAGCTCTGAATCAGACTAAGACATAGTTCAAGCCATTTCTAGTAAGAGGTAGCCTCGCTTCTGTCTTCACTGTTCTGCAAGTGCAGAGGTGAATGCTCTTATAGGATTCACAAATAGCTTCAACAATGATATGAATGAAAAAGACACAATTGTATAAATAATGCACAGAACAAATCAAACTGAACAGACATCCATTTATATTCCATTTTGTTGCTATTTTAGTATTAGATTCCATTGGTTCTTGATGCATCATCCAGCTATGTTTAATTGCCATCACCATAGTGATTCAAGACAAAAATTACCTGTCAGAATTTCTCTCTGCAATAACCCTTCTTCCTCTATGGCCTAACTTTGTAACCTTAAAGGCATACCTCAATTACCTTGAGACTCACACGAGCAAATTTTGAATCTGACCTTTGGGATGGAGGTCTGATAATTTTTATTTCTCCTGAAAAGTGCCAATTTCTGGTGTATAGAAATATCAAAATTGAAGAACATTATTCTAATGTTATCTTTAAAAGTGAGCTCCTTTTCATTTTGATTTTTTTCTATGAGTAGCAATATGTCAAAAATTTCACATTAAGTTTGAAGTTACTTTCTGGTTAGTCTAATAGGTAGCTGTACTCTGAGGGAAGATTAATTCTATAATTAAGGAAAAATAAGATACAAAGACAAGAAGAGCCAAGACGATGTGGTTCAGTGGAAACCGAAGTCTTCCTCTATCAGTACTTGTTAGTCAGCATTGCTAAGTGGGGACAAAATTGTCAAGTATACAAGTATGTATCAAGATCATTATATCTTGAGCTAAGAACATCATTATACCAACCTTTCTCCTTATAGAATACACTTTATATTATGTGTCAAATACATTACAGCATCATCCTTTCCCCTTACAGAGTACCCTTTTCTTTTATACTTCACAGTGTAGAACTCTGTAGAAAAGAGTCTGAGGCTCTTTTCCCCAAATAACTAGCAATAGCTGTGAAAAAAATAGCCCAAATATATTCTTGCTGCTGTCAATTAATTCTCCTGGGTTTCAGTAGAATTTCCTTTGGAAAGGGAGCAAATAGGTCAGTACCAATTAAAACCTGGAGCACACATCAGCAGATAAATAAATAGATAAGCATCCATTTCTCTTACAAGAAAACTCACCAGGCCCCCTTTCAGGTTCAACAACAGAATATACTACTGAGAAAGAAACTGCCTTGTCTTTATGTTTGGAGATAACAGGTATTTTTATGCCTTTAATTTCATTAAAACAATAATATATAGATCTTAAAATTGGAATTCACATATGAAAGTCAGTGATTGTAGGATTGCAGGACCATGTTGGGCATGAATGTATGCAATGTTGTGAAAATAAATAACATTTATTGAGTATTTCCCATGTGAAGAATGCATCCCATACAAATTTTGAATTACTTGCTCATTTAACTGTGAATGAAGGGTATACAATTCTTGGCTGTCACTACAGACTGAATCACTGAAAAGCTAAGACAGGGTGAAGCATGCACTGAGAGAAATTTAAAAGGTAACTCCATAG